CTTGTCCACCGATAGGCACCACCGGAATGCGTGTCACCGGACCAGAGGAATGGCGCCCAACAGGTGTTCATCGACTTCCAGAAGACGAAGTGTCCGTTCGATATGTGTCGAGACATCCTCGAGTCGAGTGGTGTTCCGTTCGTTCAGTTCCAGACGGGTTGTTGTCTGAAGAACGGAGTCATCCGAGACTGGAATTGTCTGAACGAAGATCAGCGCAAAATACTTCTCAAGTATTTGAATGAATACGTGAATTGTCGTCAATTGGAGGCCTTTGTGTGCGAAGAGCTGCTTCTGGTGTGCGCTATAATCGTCAAACGGATCGCCATCGATGAGGGCAACGACTCCCAGTCGTTGACACAAATCCTGACATATCTCTACGAAACGGTGTCCAACGCCGCCAGTGATCACAACTCGCGGATGGTTTGCTGCACTTCTATACTATCAGTGCTCAACGAGTACTCGTCGTCCACCAGAGCGTCTGACTTCGGCCTCTCGTGGGCCACACATCTGAGGGCGAAGAAGAAGTTTGAGAACACGCACCTCAAGAGTATCTTCAGATGCGTTGTCTCAACGCTCGTCAATCACTTGCGAATCTCAGACAACGGGAGTCGAGGGCCTGAGTGGACACCATTGGCCAGCAAACTGTTGCGGATCTGCGATTTCATCCTTTCGTGGAACTTTGATGTGATCACTATATTCTCGTCCCAATACGCCAAACACGTGGACTCCATCGAGAACCCGGTCCTCCAACCCGCCATCGACTGGAAGGAAGTGCTTCTGGACGGGGATGTCATCTCCATCTTCATGGAAATGCATTTATGTCTTCGCACCACAAATGATGAGAAACTAATGCACTATTCATTGCAATGCATTAATCAGTTGTCATCACTCAATGGACCCATTATTATAAACGCAGAAAACAGGAGTAAATTCCTTAAGACTATAATCACGGGAACAATAGGTTTAGTGAAACAGGTTTGCGATACCATTACTATCGCAGAAGTGGTGCCAATAAGTACTGTAATCAACCGAATCTGTGTTCGCCTTCAATCCAGAGATCAAATTAATTTCGTTGACATTTCACTTCTCAAGTCTTTTCTCGAAATGATGGCTCAAATCACGTGTAAAATTATCTTCGATTCTCTAAACACTAAGGATGAGGAAGACTTCGAGCGCTTTAAGCTATCGATTGACAATCTGTTGAACTCTTGGATGTCAATGATCTCTATCATCGAGAGGGCCAACAAACGCGAAGAGAGTGACACGAATTCAAACAATAGACAAGAAGTGGTCAAATTGGAAGAGCTGTCGGTGTGGACGCGGCCTATATTTGAGGCATTCGTTCGCATTCATCTGAGCCAACCCGAGGGTCTGAGACAACCCGTCAATGAGGCAGAAGAAGATATACAAGAGTTTGAAGACAACGATATTGTCTTATTCGGCGACCAATTGAATGCAATCGGATGTATAGCTCGTATAGATTGCAATCATGCGATCAATTGTTTGATTCACATCCTGTCGGTTAGAGTGAATCAATTCGAGACATGTCTTCGACGTGACGGTCAATCGCAGGAGAAAACAAACGAATGGATTGCTTTGAGTGAAGACCTCCATTGGCTGATCTTAATTACAGCCAATTTGTTGACTCAAACCAATTATGTTTATTACGGCGAACGAGAACTGATCCCTTCGCAGGTGATGTCACTATCGATCGCTTTTCAGTCCGATTTGAGTCAAACGATTCAATCGGTTCAGAATTTAGACCCATTTTCTTCAGCTTCTATCGATCCTATTGTTAGACTAATCACCACTTTATTGAAATTGTGTCAAATGGAGAAGTATTTGTGCGAAAACAATATGAGTCAATGGGTTAGCCCTCAAGTGTCCCTTTCGCTGACACTCTTTATATCGCGGTTTTTGTTGATTTATTTGTTGCCCAATGAGAACGACTACCAGGAGATGAGTATTGCTCTGAATTCGTGCTTTGGACGCGACTCCCCCTATGCCAACCATGTCCTCAATCTCATTGTCGACTACATCATCACTAAACTGGTCTTCTGGTCGAGTGAGACGCAAGTGACTGAAGAGTCGTCGTTAGCTTTAGTGCATTTCGTCAAGAATTGTATCGAAAGATGTAAAGCTCTCAACAATTGTGTGAATATGAATAAGTTGTTAAACAAACACTCGGCCAACGAGTTGCAGAACTTGTCGATCAATACTCGCAAAAACATATACCAAGTGTTGGTCCATATCGTGACCTATAATCATGAGCTGTACGATCAGTTGTTCCAACCATTGATGGAAAGGTACCAAAAGATTCGGATCTCTATTGAAGAGCGAAATACTGGCGAACCCTTGAGAGCGGCTGTCGTCGAGCTCTACGAGTGTTTGGAAGGCATTGCTTGCGGCACAACGGCTGTCAATATCAACAACGTTTGGCCCAACTTTATTGCACCCATTTTTCATGATTTACCAAAAATCCTATCGTTTCTACATAACTATAATTCGATAGTTGTAGCGATTCTTAACCTTTTAGCTCAACTCACAAATAGGATCCTATGCTATCTGTCTGACAATGATATCATCACTTTCTACAACACATCCATAGCTATACTCAATGAATACGCCAAACATAATTGCAATCGCAGTGTACGCGAAGGCATTGATGACGAGGAGACCTGTAACGACATTCTCGTGATTCTCAACTTTCTCAATGACTTGGCCGCCAAAGACTTCATCGAGTGGTTCCACGACAGCAGAGGAGATCAGAACAACTCGAATATCAGTGCAACTCAAGTGGTGTTTGTCGGACTCAACATAATTATGCCATTAATATGCGCGCCATTACTCGAGTTCCCCAAATTGTGTCAAAGCTATTATAAGCTGATTGTCTTCCTATGCGAAGACCCGGAACGACTGCATGGACTGCCCGACCCTCTGCTCCAATCGATCGTACAGAGCGTTCAACTCGCTCTCAAGTCTACGTAAGTGAACGACTCTTACATTGAATTCTGCATTTGACTCAACAATTATATCATTGATATCGCATTACATTGATATTTATATAACAATTTATTTACAATTTTCTGATTTTATCTATTCATATGATTTCTATAAATTGAATATCTTTTGCCAATTGCTATCAATACTGGATATTTTAGGTCTAAAACATGTCAAATAAAGCAACACTTAAGTTGTCTATAATTGATTGATCCGTTATCTGACTACAAACTGACTGCAGGGCTTATCTAAAGAGGACACAAGAGTTTACATTAAATTATATAAACTATTAAAAGACTAAAGTTATTAGTGATTAGATTCCACTCAAATGTGTTTATATTGATACAAGAATTTTTAATTTCTGGGAAATGTTTACAATTGATGTTATTTTTGTTTCAATTGCATAACAGGTTCGGCAATGAAGTGAAGAGCAATTGTTTGACAATAATCTCGGTGTTGGGCACTCATGCGATGCGCGAACCCAACAAATTCATAACATTAGTCCAGTTCGTGGAGCCCTTCCTTCGCCTCATCTTCGAGTTCACACTCTTCGAGTGCGGCACCAGTAATGACGTGACTATGAGGGAGAGTGTGGCCAACGCTCTGTTCTCTTTGATCTGTTGCTTTCCCTCCAGATATCAAGAATTGGCGCAACAGATCATCACCTCATCTAAAGAAGAAGCCGTTCAAAAGCAATTGCAAACGGCGTTTGAGAAGCTCATGGAAGGCCTGTCTCTGGACGGCGCCCGAGTCCATAGGGCGGCCTTTAAACGCCGCTTCGAGACCTTTGTTATTGAGATACAAGGATTGCTTTGTATAAAATAATTATTTATTTTATTATTTAGTTTACTTCCCATTATTTGACTCGTGAAACGTTTTAACAATTCATTAAAAATAATTTTATATTATATTTATGGCACTTGAGTACGGTTTTGATTTTTAATATATTTTACAACAAATTATATTATGTATATAGAGTTAAATGTTCGCTCAGTTTACCAATTGATAGCATAAAAATTAGTTTATTGTGATTTTAGATATTATTACTGACTAGTGATGCACACAATTGATTTGTTGATGATTTAACTCCGTTGATAGGCTTGAAGCCATTGGTTTCTTCGTACGAATGTTTAGCTCTATTTCTCAAATCTCTCTGAAATTTAATAATGAAAAACATAAGGAAAGCCCCTAACAGTGGAGGAATGCCGGCCAATGCGAACGCCATCGTATAATTGCCTTTGATTTCGTATATATAGGCTATAAATGATAGAAATGATTAAAATTGATAGCGAATTGAATTGATTGAGTTGATGGAGGAGTTGCATACCAGCTATGGGTGGGCCCACAGTCAATGGCAATGAGCAAAAAGAGAGGAGTAATCCAATGGCTTGACTTGCATTCTCGGGTCCAACCAAATCGAAAGCAATGGGTCCGAGAAGTGATATGAAACAGCCGTCAAACAGTCCTAAACCACAGCATATCAATAACAGACCAAAACTATTGGCAACTGTTATGAGAATTGTTAATAAACCGATTGATAAGAAAGCTATTTGTTGTAAAACAACGCGATTGACACGCGATATGTCAGCAATGGGTCCGGTTATGAATCGGCCCAAACAGGAGAAGGCACCGATACATGTGACCAGTATTTCGCCGTTAAATTCAGAGTTGACATCATTTGCATGTTTCACTAAATGAAAGAACGGTACAAAGTATCCAAAGAGTGATATGAGGATTGTTGTCGACCAGAATAGGTATAACTTGTTGCGGAACAGCGAACCGTTCACTATATTCTTGGCCACACTTTTGGGTTTCGACTTTTCAATGTCACCACTACTGCAGGCGGAGCTCTTGAATGCGATATTCTCTTTGAACGTAAGGGCACAGATCATGAGCGCCGACATGAGTAGTGATAGATATTCAAGAGTACTTTGCAGTCCTTTGCTTTCGATCAACATTTTAAGTAATATCGGCATAATTACGGTGAAGACAGAACTTCCCGCAGTGACCAACCCATTCACTAAACCCAATCGTCGTTTGAAATAGTGACCTAATATGACAAGTGATGGGGCGTAGATTAAAGATGCACCCAGGCCTAATATGACACCATAGGTTAGGTATAGATGCGATAAACTGGTGGACAGGGAGCTCATGTACATTCCTACGGTCGCCAGTAGGCCGCCAACAAAGCATACTTTCTGTATACCGAATCTATCCGTCAATATTGAGGCGAATATTGAGCAAAAAAATATAAGACCGACGCAAAGGGAACCGACACCCGCTAGAAGTGAATACAAGTATTAGTTTTATCAGTTTTAGACAACTTTAAATCTCAATCATTATATAAATAGTAAAAAGAGACTGGTACTGTATATGCATTCATTTAATTTCAATTCATTAGTTATTCTGATCATTCAGTTAATTCATGAAATTTGCTTTTAATGTGTATCACTAATTTGTACTTAATTATTAATTTACTAGTACTGTATACTATAGTCTTAAAGTGTCAGTAATTGTCTGTTATAATTACATCATTGGGTTGGGTTTAGTCTGTGATTATTAGACATATAATAATTATTGGTTTGGAAGCGGTATAAGTAGTGATATTGATTAAAATTGTGAAATATCTTATCAAATGTATTATACAGTACTGTATGCTTAGCGTCTAATTTATTGATTATTAGACATTCAGATAAAAGCAATGAAGACACGCGTTGACTGTATTATACTCGAAATTCTTAGACCAGATATTTCTGGCTTTCAATAAATGCTCATTTTCTCATCAATTCTCATCAAACAATCGATTTTGTCATTTCTCTTCATTGGGAATATCATTGAAAATATTCTTTTTAAACCCAATCCTAGTGTTGATGACATGCAAAGCATTTATAGCCAACTCTTCTAGTCTTAAGATACAAGTTATGGCAAACTTTCAAAAACATTTTAAAGAGGAAATAAAGGAATTGGAGTTCATTGGATGCAAATTATAGTATTTATACCAGACCTGTCCAAGGAGTCAAATTGGGAGTCAAACTCTCACACGTTTTTAATATCCTTTAAAGTTTAGGCTCACAAATATAGTACACATTAGTATGAGTGAGAGATATAAAATATTTACTAGAAATTATAAACTGTAATATTGCAATAAAGTATTTATTTTAGTGTTTATATGTTTTATATATTGACTAACTCATAGAAATATGTATGATTAGACTCCATTAGTAGAATTCTTGAATAATTTTTAAACTCTAAACTTATACTAAAAAATAAATATAGAAATGTCTAGAAATTGCACATTTTCAGGTGACTTTGAATAATGTAAAAATAGTAATTATATTTGTGTTTGTTAAGAGATTTATCTACTGATAATCTATATGAAATATATAAATTATGTGCCATATATTTTTTGTTTTTTAATATTTTAGACAGCACTGATTTATACAGTATATTCGCCAATAAATGTATTTTCAATGAATACTTTATTTTACTTTTTTCCACTCATCTTTGAATAACAAAAACATATTTATTTTTGGAAGTTGTAAAACGTTAGATAAAAAATCACTTTTGAACCAATTATTGATTAAAATTTTAAATTTCATTTGTAAACTATTGAAGGCTTTTAAATATAGTAATATTTGTCAAGAATTACAACAGAACTGAGTTTGAAATAAATTGATAAATTAATGCAAAACATGTTTTGACAGCATTTCGATGACAATGAAGTGAAATGATATGAAATGATTAATGAGAATACAATATGTTATAAATTAGTCGCGGATTAAAT